GGTGTCCAAATTACCAAGTTTGGGATAAATTCTTTTTTTTTTAAGCTCATTGGTGTCAAATCATTTCCCTTAAAGTCCAAGTATCCAGAAAAGAGATTTTTTTTTTGTGGAGAAGCATTTCCTCCCCCGCAGTGCACACTAAGCACATGTCGGGACCGCCCCCCACGCCCTTGGGTCCCCAAGTCCTGGTGGCAGTCCGTGTGCTCCTTCCCAAGCCCCTGCCCCTTTCCTCCTGTGCTCCCGGGGCGCCTGCTGTCCCAGCCTCTGCAGTGAGGCAGTGAGGCCGACCCGAGTCTGAGCCTGACTTGAGTGGGACGTTCTCTGGGGCCACCTGCCCCCTGCAGCCGCCCTCGCGGTCCTCCAGACTTCCCGCTGGAATCGGAGGAGCCAGGGGAGACGGGGGTTAGCCCGAGCTCCTCAGACCCCCCCAAAGAGGCCTGTGGATAGAATTCAGGGGATCTGAGACGTTAAATGGGGGACATAATTCATTTTTATTTTCTCTAACTAAAATTTAGTATTTTATTAAATTTCGAATGAAAGCAACCAACTACAGTGGAATTAATTAACAGTGTCCATGACTTCGTCACCAGCAGACGTGATATTTCATACCGTGTCCTGAAATGTCGTTGATGATGAGGTCACAGAACGCTGTGGGGTCATTGCCATGTGGCACCGTGGACGTTCTTACTGTAACAGAAAGTGCGCATGACATCATTTGTTAAATATTGGGAGAGCCGTATTTCAACATTGGTTTTGCAATCTGAAGTAATTCATTGTCTACATTTTAAAGTAACATTTAAAAATATTATTCTGGGAATGGTCCTTAAGCTTCACCTGACTGCCACGGGGGTCCCTGACACAAGCCGGTTCGGTCGCTGCCTTGGGGCTGGAGGGGCCGCATTCCCCTGCCTCTCCCACCACTTCACCTTGAGTGTGAGCAGGAACCACATGGAGATCTGGATGCTCGTTCCCGCAGTCAGTCTGAGGCTGCTGCACAGCCGTGGGGAGGAAGGGAGGGACGGAGGGAGGAGGCCAACACTCACGGCGACTGTGACATTCAGAATCTCAGTTGGCCGTGTCTAACCAACAGGCATCGGCTCCTGGGCTTCCATCCTTGTGACCCTCAGCGAGGACGCCCACTGGTTCAGTGGAAGGAAAGCACCTTGCTGCCCAGCATTCTTACCCAGAGCTCCATGGCCGTGTCCAAGTTCCACTCGAGGAGGCTGTTCACAAAGCTGGCAGAGTCGCACCTGCCCACCCACACCACCTCGTGGGAAAAGGTGGCCAAGCCACTCTGCAGCTGCTGGACGTCGCGCAGGGGGCCACAAGCCCGCAAGAGCACGCTGTTCTCTTTCTTTCAAATCGATATTCCTTTCAATGCAGGAGCCGTGACATCTGAAAAATCTGCATTTGTGTTTTAAGTTGGTAATTAAGTGAGTTAAAAGACTGTGATTACCAGTGGCCAGGCATAGGCTTCTCATTATAAGGTTAGCTGGAAATGAGTTTTTCTTTCCTTTTCTTTTCCTGATTTGTTTAACAGGAAAAATTTCTGTGATTCTAGTTTAATGAGCCCCTAATGGCGTTCTAAGTATCCGCTGGTACATTTTCGGAGAGCAGCGGGTTTATCAGCCTAATGAGGTTGATGATTATAGAAATTCAAACCCAAGTCACATCCGTAACATATGCAATTCTTATTAACCCGCATCCCCTTGTAGGCGCTAATGTTTCAATATTGTCTGGCTTTGAGCCTTGTACGTAGGCGTGTGGGCAGGCAAAGTACAGTAACCGCCTTCCTGGGTTTCCACAGCTTCAACTCCAAAGGGGCATCAGGCACTTACAGTCGTCTTTGTTCTTGACTTGCCCAGATCTTTTATGGGCACCGTATTCTTCAGTTTTTTAAATAATTTGACTCATTGTGTGAGTTGATAATATAATGCGTGTCATGTCCAAACAGCATAAAAAACCACCTGGTAAGAAAGCGAGTCCTTCCCTTTTCTTCTGGCTCCATTTCCTTTTCTGAAAACTATCGCTGCTACCCATTTGTTATCTGCCTTTTCACAAGTTTTCTATGTATTTCTATATAACTTGTGTATGTTTGTTTTTCCATGCAAATATTATGCTAGAAACACTCTCTGAAACTTTTCTAATGTAACAGGATCATATAGAAGACCTTCCTTCTTTGTACAGTACTTCATTCCACAGGTACACCACGCCCTGCCTGACCAGTCTCTGTTTGTGGGCATTCAGCGGTTTATATCTTTGGCTGTCATAATATTTCAAAGAGCATATTCGCCCAGTGATGTTACTTTGCACATGTGAGTGTGCCAACCAAATACCAAGGGGCAGAAGGTGTGAGCGTTTTAAATCTGAGAGATGCCATAAAGGACTATGATCGCATGATAATGTCTTCCGATGACCAACATGGGACTCTTCTACGAGGGAGGAGTCTCCCAAAGAAGCCCCGCGATGCATGGAGCCAACGACTTGGTTGGCCCATCTGGGCCCAGCTGCCAGGTGGACGCAGCAGCCAGGACCTAACGCTGCCGAGCAGAACAACAGGCTAGAGGCAGAGATGTTTGGGGCTTGTGGCAGGGAGGTGAGAGGGGTGAGGGGAGCAGATCAAGGCTCTGAGAATTGAGGCCAGTCTGGCTAAAGATGCCAAGGCACGTGTGGCTCAGGAAGGGTGACTACCTGGACAAGATCACTGTGCTGTTGTGAAGGAGGGAGTGTGGAGAGGGGAGAGGGGCAGGGAGAGGGCAGGAGCACTGGCCCTGGGCTTGGAGTGAGAAGATCCAGGCTGGGCTTCCAGCTCCATCCCTCGCTACTAGAGCTGAGCCACCTTGGAACGAGCAAGGTAGCAGAGCCAGCTTCCCAAGGTGGCCGTGAGGGATGGAGAGAGCTGTGTGGGAAGACGCCCAGTAAACAGTATGAACCCAGCAACGGGTGGAGTCTCAATGCATTTAGGTTTCAACATGTTTAGGCGCCAGGGAATATCATCTTCAGAAAGTTCACAGAACATCAGCTTCATAAAAGCTGAGCGGGCTGCTCTGGCTTGTTCTCTGCTGTGGCCCCTGTGCCCAGAATTGTGGCCGAGGCTGAATCAGGGCTCTTGAGTATTCACTGAGTGAGTGAAGTGCAGGCCACGGCTACACAGCTGAGGGACTGGCTGCGGCCGGAGGTATAGTTTGGGGAGTTCCACATTTATCATTATTAGTCTAAACCTTAGAAGGAAAACCTAACTGTGGAGGTATTTTATGGAAATTTGTTGATTGAATAGATGGATGAATGGACTTCTCGGAGTGCTTTCAGAAATTGTTTCATGCAGTGGCTGGGCACCCCAAGCCTTAGGCGAGGCAAATATTATTTTTATCTGAAATATGCCTATTACAGTGACTTGGACTGTTGACAGTTACTCCATATTTTATTTTCCTGTATTTTAAAACTATTTTCGACCCATGCTTTGGTTGGAATAGATTAATAACATACTTTAGACCCTGTTGTTCGCCACAGAATTCTAAAGCCTGCTTTAAATATGAATGCGGCTTATGTCTCCATGTAAAAGTATGCAGATAAGGAAGAACTTCTCAAACTTTCTCACTGGTCAAGGATCGGGTTTGCAAAATGAAATGAGGAACTTGGGTTAGATGATCTTGCATGTCCTCTTCTGCCCTAAAATCGTAGAGTTTTGTGAATAAAAGCATAAGGGGACGAGCAGAGGTTTAATAAAAAGAGGAAAAAAACAGGGACGGAAGCTGCACGGGGCGTAACGATGAACACCGGGCATTTGCAGTGTTCACTGAGGGCCAGGCCCCGGAGGCCTTGCTCCCTGAGCCCTCACAGCGCCTACAAAAGGGGTGACGGACATTCTGCCTGGGGTCAGCGGCTGGAAAGGAGGTATCTCTCTAAGCAGGTACCATAATTTGCAGCAGCACTTGTGCCAACAACAACAAGCTTTGCAAAAGAAATCGCTGCCCTGAGTCAAAGAGCTGCCTTCCCCTGAGCCAAAGGGCTGCTGAATCTGGGGGTGGGTCTCCAGTCACAACCGACAGTCCGGGACGATGTCACCTGTGGCTCTGGAGGACAGGGTTCTGTGTGGTTGTGACCTCACGGAGCAGGGCTTTTTCGCTGGTCTTGTCCCTTTCTCCAGAATCAGCTCTTCTGTCCCTGACTGGTGACGATGCTCTTCTCCCATCTGCTTTCCCATTTTGTTGTGAACTGGCCTAACCCAGTTGAGCAGCACAGGGTGCTCGGGTTCTTTTTATTTTTCTTGGGTTTCTGTCAGTAATCAGAGGCAGGTGAGGACTCCACACCTCCAGTGTGGTCGCTACACTGCAGGTGATAAAAGCAAGAAAGACAAACTCTGCCCCCACACCAACATGACAAACCGCCCTGAAAGCACACAACGCACTGACTTCAGGCCCCTGCCCTTTCGGATGCCCCCATTTATATGGAATATTTGGAGCAAATGCCATGACATCCTAGAGGCAGGGTTTGCTTAACCTTGTAGTTGCCACTGAATAACCAGAATCCTCCAAGCCAGCCCTGAACGTAGGACTATTTAGAAATTCAACCTTGGGAACCATTTTAATGTGTGAAGAGACTTAAATTCTTAAACCCTTCTAGCCTCACAGTTGGCAAACTATAGTGCACAGGCCAAATCTGGTCTGTGCCTGTTTTTGTAAATAAAGTTTTATTGGGACACAGCCATGACAATTTATTCCCATGTAATCTGTGGCTGATTCTGTGCAACAGTGACAGAGTTTGAGGGATTGCAACAGGGGTTATTTGCCTGCAAAGCCAAAGTTAATTTACCATTTGATGCTTTATATGAAGTTTTCTGACCACTGCACTAGCCGGTCCACATATACATGAAGCACTGCTGTTTTCAGCAGTGAAAAGCCATTGTTAATATTCATATCACTAATTAGCAAAACCTCTGGTGTGGAGCAGAGGTAAAGGGAGCTGGAGTGGGGACAGCAGCTGCCTCTGGCATGTGGCCTCCTTGTCAAGTAGGAGAGGCCATCCCCACGATGCAGGTGTCCCTCTGGAGCAGTAACAGCCTCCGTGCACTTGTGAAAACCAGCACACATTTAGAGAACATTGTCAGTTTGGAAAGTTTGAAGGTAAATGGCAGTCATCACAATACTTTTTTTTAATTGCTTCTCAAAACCCATTTTTGGTATGGTTATGGTTAAACCTTCAGACAACTCTCAAATCAATAATAATATTAAGCCCAGAGTTTGAAAAGTATGTTAACTAATCGGACCCCAGTGCAACAGCTAAGACAGAACAGGTTTGGTATTATCCCATTTTACAAGATGAAAACCAGAAGGTCAGCAAGCCCACCCAGCTTCGTTACAGCTGCGGGGCTGGTGAGTGATGGGGGGAGACCCGAAGTGGACGCTTCTCATCCTCCAGGTGGTGTGCTCTCTCCTCGGCACCGGGGCAGCTTCCCAGTCCCAACGGCTCATTAACCATCTTCTCGGAGCAAACTTGAAAGATCTTAACTTCAGTCTATAGAAATAGATGCCCTCTTCAGAAAAAAAAAAATAACATTCTTAGAACTTTCTTGACTACTTTGCAAACTATCGTTACCCCCTTTCTTCACATTTTTTTGAAGTCTGGAAGTTATGGGGCCACCACTGGTTCCAGGATTGGGTACTCAGGGTGGGGAGACGTTTCCCAGAGGAGTCAAAGGAATGAAGGTAGATGCTTGAAAATGAATCTGTTTCGTCAATCACATAACACATGACCCTACAGAGTCAAAGAAGGCTTTGAAGGGCCACCCTGACCTGGAAGTCTTTTACTACAGCACAGAGGAACAGCGTTCCAGTAATCGACTCACACCTGCCAGATGAGGGAGCAGCTCACTATCAGGTCCACCAGCTCCCCCACCTCCCCCTACAGTGCGGGGCTCTACTCCGAGCTACGCTGCGAGCTGTGTCCCACCGCCGGGGAAGTTCGCCTATCACTGCTCGTCTGGGCGGGGGTTGTTAGAGATGGTGAGCTATCTCTCCTCAGCCTTTTCTCAGTCACTTTCCCTGTGACTCCCACCCTCAGTCTCCCATAACCTAGTCCTCCCCATCCGGGCTGGGTCAAGCCCACAGGTGGCACTGGTGCATTTTGATTCTTCCACCTGCAGGGTCTGAGCTTCTCCTCCAATCCAGTCCTTTTATATACATTGGCTCCCACGGGCCCCGTCCATACCGTAACTTCTGGGGAAGAAGGAAAAGGGGTAGGTATTATATTCGGGAATAAGAATCTTAATGTGTGAGTCCAAGAAGGAAGTTGGAGGTCATCTATTCAGACCCCGATGGCTGCCTGCGGTGATTTGGATCTTAAGTCATAACCATATGGATTCTACTAGCAAACGAGGTCTCTCGTTGGAGACTTCTAACAACTTTAAAGCAACAACTCAGTAGTGTAAAGAGACAAAAATGAGTTCAGGCGTGAGTCCACTGGGAGCTGCTACAGCAGCAGGGATGGGAGCAGAAGCCCTGTGTGTGCCTCAGGCGGCACCGCCTCGGAACAGCTGGGACTCCTCCGTGCGATTCTCCTCACTGATGTCTGATGGTGCGTGGAAATAGCCATGTTGGAAACAAGACGGGACCCTCCAAAGGTCGCAGTCAAGATTAAATAAATATTTATGATCCAGCCTCAACAGAGAAAGGGGGAAAGTGCCCAACAAAGTCTTGAATTGTGATTTTGGGGAAGAAGACTTACCTTGCTTCTGAAGATAGTTTACTTTTCACATAGTAATAACTTCTGGATTATGTAGTGAGTCATAGTAACACAGAAAGAATCTCAAAAGCTCAGTGCCTTAAAATCACCAAGGTCTCTTTTCCATCCATGGGACATACCCACTGGGAGTGTTGACTTCATGCTGCGACCCGGGGTTACAGCCTGGTCAGTCTGTGGAGCCTGGCTGACCCCTGGGAGGAGGGAATGAGAGCTTTGGAACGGCTTGAACCAGCAATTACTGCTCCAGCCCGGAGCCCTGCTCGCTCACAACTCATTGGCCAGCACTGGTCACATGCCGCTCACTCACTGAGGACCAGGAAGCACAATCCTACTGGGACCCTGGAAGACAGCGGAAAGCATGTATAAAATAGTACTCACGACGTCCACCTGTCGTTAAGGTTTAAAGGACAAAGTCTGGTCCAGAGTGTGTGCAGGACCATGCACGCCAAATGCTTCTGGTCACACAGACAAGTTGCCCCTTTAAGAGGGAGCACGCCCCGCAGCTCGAGGCTCTGCCCAAGGCCTGTGCGCTGGGAGGGTGAACTCGGAGACCTCCCTGGAAGGTTACAAAACGCTGACGCCGGGGTTTTCACTCCACAGATTGTACTTTAATCAACCTGAGGTGCAGCTTGGGCATCAGGATTTGTAAAGCTCCCGGGAGTGATACCAAAGTAGAGGCAGGGTGGGGCGGGGGTGGGGGGGTCACTGGTCTGTTTTAAAGGACAGGGTTTTGGGGCGATTTTCCATCCCACGTTATCTATTTATCTGTGTGGTCTTAAGTCAGCTCACCTCTCATTTCATTGTCTGTGAAATTAGGGGTGGAGTGCAAGGACTTCCAGCGATCCTTCCAGCCTAGAAACCACCGCTCGGATGCTACTGGCTTCCATCTAGAAAGCGTCCCAGGCACCTGGGAAAGTGTAGGTGCAGCCAGACAACTTTGGAAGTCGCTCTGGTTAAGCTCCTACATTTTCACTCGTGGAATGAGGGCACTGATTGGATGGAGTCTTTACCGGGTAGGTAGCTGGGTTTTTCCCACCAAACCAGGAAGGAAGCCTGGCCAGCCCTGGGGATAAGAGTTCGCACCAAAAAAGATACAGAATTAACTCGATCTCTTCATTAGATGTGGACTGAATCAGATCCCTGATCTAAAACAAAACAAAACAAAACAAAAAAGAAATGTATCACCTAAGGCTAGTCAGATAAAAATAAATGTTAAAAAGCCACGTCCCTCATTTCTTCTGGCTGAAAATGAAAAAGTTAAAGATTTCGCAGTTTCTTGGCCATGTAATCCTATCTTAATAGTGTCAGTGTCTTAACACTGTATTGATCGTCTCTGCTCCCTCTGTCTCTAAAGATGCATTTTACTCCGTGGGGCCAAACATGAAAAAGTACTTTAAAAGATCTTTTTTAAAGAGTTTTTTGATTTTCAAAAGCTTCTTGGGGGCTTATTGAGCCTCTCTGGCAGCTGGAATTAACTCTGCGATGTGTCTCCTCCACTGCCCACACTGAATCCATCCTGAAGCCGGCAGTTACCAATGACTCGCAGGAGGGAGAAGATAAGAGGACCCTGGGGATAAATTAAGGTGGTAATCATTTACCCAGACACCCGTATTTCTAGGCTCCATTGCATTGGAAACACCGGGTAATTATCAACAGCCACCTTAAATATGTGAAGTTGACTCCAGTATTAAGTGGTAGAAAGTGAGGAGAGGAGGAGATGGATGGACGCGGAAAATTAAAACTCTCAGTGTGTAAAATAGCATGGAACTGTTTTCCACTTCTCAAAATGCCTGGCAAGTTGAAATAAGACAGAATCTTCCTTTCTAGCCCCACTGGATGTGTTCAATGTCTGCATCTCTCTTCTTCAGTTATTAGAAAAAGGCATCGGAATAATTTTATTGAATACTTAGAAAAACAGTGATAATACAGCAAAATGTCATTACTTTGGATGATGGATGGTACTGTGGATGGTCCTTTTTCTTTCTTTGGGAATCTCTGTGTTTTACCACTTTTCTCTGTTGATTATCTATATATATCTGGACTGGCTTTGCTCCTCACTGTGTTTTGTGGAATATTTCTTAACCATCCTGAACCTTATTTTGCACCTCAGATGAAGATGATAATAGTATCCACCTCAAAGGGTTGTCGTAAATGTTAGATTAAATCACATGGAATAGCCGATATTTCATTTTTTGACCTATGAAAATGGCAATTTGAAGTGGTTCGATATAATCGTAAACATTTAGCATTGTGCCTGACTAAACAGTCAGGAAATATTGGCCATGAAAGGTGGTTAAGGAGACACAGAGAGAACAAATTTGAGAATAGAAAAGACATGTAATTTTTTAACTCAGGTTTATTGAGGTAAAAGTTACATGTAGTATATATACAGTTCTAAAAAAGCTGACAAACAACTGGAAAACCACAGTCAAAATGCAGAACAGTTCCATCCTCACCCCCAACATACATCAGGCCCCTGGTAGACAGCCCCTCCCCCTTCAAGCCCTGGCCACTGCTGAGCGAGTATGATGTTCCTTCACATGCGTTTACTGGATTTGTTTTCAGTGTTTTTGTCCAGATATGGTTTCACAAGTTTTCAAATGTAAACTATATACTGTTTGAAATCCTTTGATATACTATTTTTCAACACACAGCTTTTATTTCATCTTTGTACTCCTTACACAATCAAATGTAAGGAATATCGCAAGTAACTGTGAGGAATCATTTGGCATCTTGCCGTTTCTGTAGCTGGACAACTTAGATCTTATTCATCAGCCTGCTGAACTGTTCCTTTTTCAGAAACATCTATACTATCCAAAAACTTCCTGATATCCTTGTTTTTAACTGTTGTGGCTTGCTGAATTAAAGCAGCTGAATTTGATACAAGTTCAATGTCATTTCCTTCCAGAATCAACTCATCTCTCTGGGCCTGAGTTGTTGAACAAGCAACACATGACCTCATCGGAACCCTGTGGCTATATTTTTTGCCCAAGAAATTTCTGATTTCAAAAAGAGAACCATTCTCCTGAGTGACTTGGATATCACAGGTCTCCTTCTCATTCCTCCTTTTTTGTACCCTCTGCTCGTGCCTGTTCCCAAGCTAACCCCAGGCCTGCGCAGCAGAGCATCCGAGCAGGCGCCATGGCTCCCTCTGAGCTCAGACATGTTTCCTCAGCACGTGCGCTTCTCTGCTGCACCCCAACCCGACCCTTCCAACTGCAGGCCAAGGGGGGGCTGCCCCTCGGTGAGCTTGTTTGTCAGTGTGACGGGGATGGGCAAACAGCACCCCGAGGTTCAAGCCTTCGGGCTCCCTCCCTGGAAAACTATCTCCTAAAGCTGTGATGTTCTTGATCCAGACAACAGTAGAATCTTAGGGTCAGAAGGTTCTTCAAGGTCATCTAGCCCCTGGCCACATTCAACCCATGGCCTTTGAATCAGCAGCTCAGACATCCTACGGGAGCTCGTTAGAAACGTAGTATCCCAGGAGCCATTCAGACCTACGGAGTCAGAACCTGCATTTGAACGAGATCCCAGGAAATGAGCGTATTAATGTTGGAGATGCTCTGCCCTGGCCCGGCCCCTCTTCTGATGGAAAGATCCTGCCTGCAGAGTTTCCCTCCTGACCGCCCCCACGTGCTCCACGGCTTTTCCCTTCCAGCCTCAGGGTGAACTCTCTCGGGGAGAGCAAGGGCCTAGCTTTGCCCTTCAAAGTCATGTGGGGAAGTTTTACAAATCCCAAGGCTGAGAACTCGCCCCTGACTAACAAAACGGCATCTCGGGAGAGGGAGCCCGGGCACTGGTATCTTACGAAGTTCCCCGTGAGATTCCAGTGTGCAGCCGAATTATGAATCACTGATGGATAGCCATCCATTTGCATCTCAGGCCGTTTACTTTGCTCCTTGCTCTGATTTTCTGTGAAAGTGCAAATATCCCCTCAGAAAGGCAAAATTGTTTTCTCTCATTTACACTTTGCTTGGAAATATGGCTTTTTTTTCATCCAAACAAATAACTTATTACAAACTCTTGGATATCATACACTAGTTGTCTTCACAGTTCACTCGAGATGAAAGTGTAGGATGTGAACACGGGTGGCAGATGGACAGACTTCAGGCCCGCTGCTCGCCCACTTCCGATCAGCTAAGTGACCTTAAGCAGGAGGGGGCCGGGCTAGGCCATGACCCAGAACTTCTTCCACTAGCCCACTTCCGGCCTTCGGACCATCCTCTCCCTCCCGCTGCGTAGTCCTGCAGGGAAAGAGAGGGAAGGGGGAGGTGGTCAGAAGCTCTAGAGGAGCCCGGCTGGCGGCTCTGTAGGTGCCCCTTCTGCTCAGCAGGAGTTCCCAGTCTCGTCCTTGGTCTATGAGAAGCTTGGCTGGTGTTGTGCTCTGCTGGCCTCAAAGGCAGGGGGTAGTTCTCCACTCAGCGATCCTCTTCGGTAATGAGCCCTGTGTGCGTGACGTGTCTGTTTAAGAAAATGAAATCTGCATTTTTTTTCTGTTCCAGGGATTTAGAGGGAAATAATTTTGTTCATGTTTTATTAGCTTTTGAACTATCTAGTTTTACTTAGATAGGGCTGCGTTAGAATCATTATTGTTTAGGAGTATTTAAGTAAGGTTAACAGTAATTCTGAACATACTAAATACGTGATCAAGTAGAAGTTTGGAGGAGAAGAGAGAGAGTGTTATTTTGAAAGGGAAAATCTAATTAATACTCTTAGTCATATTAGTTTACTATTAATGACATATAACACAAAAGAAATTCTTATTAATATATAAATTTAAAAGCTCTCACTTTAGATTCTAATGCATATCCTTCATATATGAAAATAAAATTTAGAAAATGTACAGCTTGCAAACTCTCCCTTGTACATATTTGTTTTGCGAACTAAATACTAGTCTAATTAACTCGATGTTTGGAGATAAAACACTGTGTTCCCCTCCCACCATTCCCTGCTCACCTCACTCTTCAAATGCGGATAAACATATCGAGTGCATGTTCAAGCACGAATTGGGCACAGTGGACAAACACAGACGCTTTAAGGACTTAAATAAAATGTTGACCCTCAGTCCCTTAAACATCCATCCCAGTGGGCGATCTCAGCTATAACTTGCTATCAGAGTTTACCCTGTAGACCAGGCATGTGCTGCGGGAAGAGAGGGTGTGTTTGGTGCCAGGAGAGTTACAGAGAACGTCGGACTATTTCTGTTCTCCACTGCAAAACACGCAGTTTG